AATTGAGAGCCTTTACATAAAAAATAACCGTATATAATAATCAAAACCAGCGTAATTGAGCAAGACTCAGTAAACGCTAATACATGACCTTAAGGGGCTATACCAGTGTGACGCTTTCAAAAAAATTATTTTTATTATTTTCGATAGTTTATATTTCCAAAAATATTCTGTGAAATCGGCAAGGTCGTATCTTGAATAGGTATTGGATGGCAGCGTTCTAAAGAGCACCCGCTCGCAGGTATAATCATATATGAGTGAAACTTTAAACGACATTTTTCCAAATTGCTGACATTATAACTCAACGAGAAATTAACCGATTGACTTGAAATTAAAACTGTAAATTTTTGTAAAAAAAAATCTTAAAATATAGCTGAAATATACCTTACTACGTTCGAAATATTCAATCGCGTACTTTCTCTTCACGAAAATCGCCTAATTTTTATGCGTTACATTGGTGTAGCCCCTTAAGGAAGGAGCCTGGTTTAGAAGCTTCAAAAAATCGATTTTTTTGAGGATTTTTTAGGGAAGGAAAGAAATAATTGATTAAAGCGAAGTTTCTAGGGTTTATAGTTATATATTTAAGCATCATTTACAAAGTTTTTTGGATACGAAATTTTTTTTAATAATTTATCTTCTAGTTCAACTAAAAAAAATTCCAATAAAAGTGTAAAATTTTAAAAATTTTTTAGAAATTTAATAAAGTCGTTTTCGATCAAAAAATTTTTATTTTATGTTGTTTAAAAATACATATGTTCAAACTTGATATTTCTTAGTTTTTTTAGTTTAACTAGATGGTAATTTAATGCCGAAGATCATAAACTTTGCCCCAATTCCATACGACGTTTAGTTTCTTTCTATCCTGCTTGCCAATTAAGAAAAATCGTAAAAATTAATAACCGAGAAATCAGGCGTCAAAGTTTTCGATTTCTGCCCAATCGTTCATATATCTGCTAGACGCTCGGCTTCGAAAAAAATCAAGTTCTCATCTAAAACTTTGAGGACATATTCTTAGATTATTTTTAAAGAGATTTAAGGAAAAAAATCGATTTTATGAAACTTCTAAATCAGGCTCCCCCCTCAAAGTGACCCTAGTCGTCTGACATCCAAAGAGATGACATTGTTTGATCCTCGAGATATCCAAATTCGACTCCCTCATTATTTTTTGGCAAGATTATTTGAAAAGCAGTGAGTCCCTGTTCCGATACGCTTCGCAACACGCAATATGTTTGAAAAATTTAGAGAAAAGTAAAAGCAAAATAACGATATATCTCCATACGACCACTACTCATATTCCATATTCAATAAATCAATAATAAAGAATGCGATATCTTTAACTGTCCATATGGCTAAAGGAAAAATCAAAAAAGTCATTTTTTTATCAACTTTTTCTGTCATACAATGCTGAGTAAATTAGTTTACAACTTAAAAGCAATATAAATTTTGATTATAGACGTTTAATTGATTGAGCCACTCTCTTGCGGTGAGCAGTAAAACTGAAGACTGGTCATTTCACCTTTAAAATAGTGTTTTTCTTTGGCCATAGATCAATAAAGCTATGTTTATTATAGCATTTTTAAATACATTAATTGTTTCATTTTGCAAATTACAATTTTAAATGTATGATAATTTGATATTCTGCCCACACAGCCCAAAAAGTGCTTATTTGAGGATGTAATGGCGTCCATAATTGGCTTTTGGATTATAATCACTCCAAATGCATTTTATTTTTTAGGTGGCCATTCAATTAAAAGTGAGATTTATCATTGAACAAAATTTTTTTTCGAAGATCGGGATCGGTGGCCTTCTCGTTTTAGGCCCATTCATCACACAATCGGATTTATGATCTCTATAAAGCTTTACATCAAAAATCCCTGACTTGAAACCAATTTAGACTCATAGTCTCTTAAGCAAAGTTTTTCAGAATGATCCGTTAGAAATTTCCCGCATTTTTCCGGTTTTTCGCCTCCCTGTAAATCAAACCGCTCTAATGAATATTTACAAACAATTTTTACTAATACTGTTACGAAGAACAAGGACTTCAGCGATGTTCTGCTGGGACAGATTTACCGATTTGAACAATTTTTTCGGAGATTATATTACTACCTTAAGCAGTAATCCATGCCAAATTTCGTGAAGATACCGTGTCAAATGTGAAAGTTCCCCATACAAGCCCTTAATTTCGATCGTTCGGTTTATATGGCAGCTATGTGCTATAGTGAGCCAATTTGAACAATTTCTTCGGAAATTACATTATTTCTGTGAACAATAACTCATACCAAATTTCGTGAATATATATTGTCAAATGAGGAAATTTCCCTGCAAGCATTTGATTCCGATCGGGGATTACATTGTTGCCTTAGAAAATAACTTGTGCCAACTTCTGTGAAGATACATTGTCAAATGCGAAAGTTCCCCATACAAGCCCTTAATTTCGATCTTTCGGTTTATATGGCAGCTATATGTTATAATGGTCCAATATCAGCAGTTCCGACAAATGAGCAGTACGATGTCAGCATAACGATATCTTAAAAACTGACAGACAGACCGAGGGACATGGTTAAATCGACTCAGCTCAACATACTGATCATTTAAATATATACTTTATAGGGTCTCCGACGCATCCTTCTGAGTGTTAAAAACTTTGTGGCAAACTATATACCCCGTTCAGCAGGTAATTGCTATGCCAAATATGAGAGCGATCTGTCAACCAGTTTGTTTACAAGAGCTGCCCAACTTGGTACACCTCAGTGTTGCGATTTTTATAATGGATAAAAATATTGTTGTTCAAAATTTTGTAATTGTTGCGAATGTTGGAAAAGGCTTAGGTGATTCAGTTATATCAAAAATTCAAGCCTACGTGCGCTAGAAAGCCTTCAATGACAACCGATAGATCGTTGAAGACATACCTCGTTTTGGACGCCCTTCGACCTCTTTAACTAATGAAAATATTTAAAAAAAGTGCTTGAAAATCGTCAAACAAAAGAAAGTTAAAGACATGACTTAAGAGATGGAAATCTGGCGCGAGTTTATTCAAATGATTTTGATGTAAATTTTGGGTATGAAACGCGTTCTTGCAAGACTCGTCCAGATAAAGCTGATGTTTCCCAAAAAGAGTACCATAAACAGGTCTCTTTAGTTCAAAAACGCGATGAATACCATCGACCAACCACCGTTTTCACGAGATTTCGCTCCGTGTGATAATTTCTTATATTTTGGCTTCAGGAATCACTGTTTTACCACAACATGAAATCACTACATTTCCATTGTAAACTAGCAAAAATCGTCACTTTCAGAAAAATAACTTCAGAACGATTGAATGAAATAAGGGGAAACTTTGACAGTATTCTAGTTAGGGTTAGTACCCCAAGGAAGTTTAAGCCCATGGAGAACAAAAATAAAAATAATTGAAATTATATTGAAGATATTATATGCATACTATTCATTAAATATACCGGCAGATTAGTTATAGTTTTTGAAAAATATGTTACATATAGATTTGTCTATTGTTCAAATATCTATTTAGTTTTAGTTCCAGGTTATGTGTTTTAATATTTATCTAATAGAATTGTACTTGAAACACATTTATTGCTACAATCACTATCGTTTTATGGCTGTCATTACAGTCCTGTGCCATATATTCAGACGCAGCGGTTATGTATACTTTCTCTCGAAGATGAACATTGCATCTATCTGTCGAAATATTTGAGCGAAACAAATTTTCTCATCGGCTATGAAGAATATTTATTTGAGGTCATAACAATGCATTTAAAAAAAAAATATTTTTGAATTATAAAAATCGTAATTTTTTCGTGCAACCTCAATATTCGCCTTCAAGCAATCGACGAATTAATACTCGTTTAAATAACAGAGAATCAACACAAACTGCCCCTTTACGACTAGATGTTCATTATTCACGACGAATCTTTAGTCACCCGGATTTCATCTTACCTCGGCATTCTCCTCATTTACATACATACATTTTATGTGTAACATCATATCTATCTCGATTAGTTATATGAGTTACGAACAATCATTGGGTGACCAATACTAATATACTGTGATACAGCAGGAGTGTAAACATAAATAATCCTATTGGCTTGAACGTCCAATGTAGTTTTATTTATTTTATTTGTAACATAAATAATGAATTTAAAAACATACATAAATTAAAAAAATAAACAAAATTTTAACCAAGCGAAACAGCGACGATAACTGGTTCTCTCTCGAAACATCTGTAGTTTTTTGTTAAAAGCTGATAAAAGCTGTTCTCACTTTGCCAAAACTATTACAGCTATTTCTTGATTTTTTTTTAATTATACTTATTTATACATTAGGGTGGGTCAAAAAAATAGAATGTTTTGGTAGACACCTCTTAAAAAGTATGAGCTCTTAATTGTAACGGAAATGTTCGGCGTCTAACGGTTGCCTTTTTTTCTCATTATCGGTTAGAAAAATTCATATCTCGCTTACAACTACCTGAAAAACTATCTCGCTTCATAGATTTTGTATGAAATTAAATGCCTTACAAAGAGTGTCTTACGATTTTTTCGTAAAATTATCGGTTTAAAAGATATTGACGATTGGAGTTTGACTATTTTAGGGCGAATTTATTTATTTTTTCCTAAATCAATCTTTTTCTAAATCAATAAAAAAGCATAATCAAAAAATATAAAGCTGATAATCTCGTAGGGAATTTCCAGTTCTACATAGAGTACTCTAATAGATTGCTATACCAACACATGTAGATATTTGTGCATACTTTACATGTGATGTCAATAATAAGGCCGGCGACTGTATAAGTAACTAATACCACGGGGTTTAATGCGAATATGATTTCTCCTTACCTATAATTTATGTATGTATATACAATCGTATGCTTAATCGCACCGCTGAGCGAGCCGCATCGTGAATTTGAACGGTAGTTGGGAATCAGCGTAAAAATCAGCTGTAAATTCAAATGTAAGCGTTATCTGGTCAGTTGCAAAAGTGACAGCGTCCGAGAAAGTAGTCGTTGTGCAAGTTTTTAGCGCGGCGTAAATCTATAAAAAAAAAAATAAAAATAAAAATAAAGCGATAGCGATAGCGAGTGTTTATAAAATAAAATATGGTAGGGCAGCAACTGAATAAAAAATTGGATGAATTGGAAAAATGGTTCAAAGAAAATCCAAAATTACCGGAAGAAATTGGTATGTGTGTCAAAATGACATAAATGAAATATGGATATGCAAATGTTAGGAAATATAAATACCAATATTGCGTCCGTTTTAAAACAAATTATCAACAAATTATGTTAATGAAATATTTGAAATGCACATATAATATCTAAGTGTTATATCTATAATATAACAGGTTGTAAGATATATAGTACATATGTGGGTATACATTTTGAGTAATCCAAGCTTTTGTGTTTTGAAAAAAAAGAGATATTAAGTAACTTGTAAGACATATCAATCAATTCAAAACCGGATTTTTTACATCGATTAATAACAGGTGCGGTTGTCATTTATCGGTGCAAATGAACTGAAACATGGAAAGATGTTAGTTAACTTTTACTCATAGTTACTTCTGATTCTGAAAGAGAAACTCCATCAACAGCGACTTTTATAAAACGTTATGGATCAGATTTGCAGTAGAAGAAACTGTTTCATTAAGGCAATGCATTGTGTCGCAACGTAATGATAAATAATGGCAAAACCATTTGAATTATAAGATAATAAAGTGACAATCGCTGAGACGGAGGACGATATTGCAGCATATCACAATTCGTACCTCAGAAATGTTATCGAAAAGTTTATCGATTGCAACCATTAATTACAAATTTTGATAATAAAAACACAACTTTCAACCTGTCTAGTATGTTCTTATATGAAAACAGCAAACATAACAAATCATAAAAGCATGGCTGCATAATTTGAGTGGAAACCGCAAAACATAATCTGGCGGCAAAATAATTTTAAATTGTACCAATACATATGTATGTTTGTATGAGATATAATCAAGAATGTGGTGAAGCTTTTATAAATGTAAAAAATTAAATCGTTATGTTTACAATCGTGTACTTATGTGTATGTATGCTATGTATGTATAATCGAGAATTTGTTTTGTTTTTTATTAATCAATTTCTAGATGGAATGCACGAGTAAGCATGCACTTAAATACGATACGTAATTACGTTTTGAATATGTTCTTACGGAATTTAGTATTCAAAAATATAAACAAATCTAAAATTAATCGGGATAGATATATAGTTATATAAATATACACATATAAATGCTCAGTATCACGAGAATAATTAAAATCCGTGTGACAGTCTGTCTGCAGGTCCGTCCGCGCGTGCAAGCCGTAACTTGAGTAAAAATTGAGATATCTTGATGGAACTTATTAAGCGCGTTTTATTGTATAAAAATTACTGTCGGCAGATTGGCATAATCGGACCACTGCTACGCCCACAAAACGGCATTAACCGAACACTTTTAAAGAAAGATGCAACTGTGAGCAATAACTTTTGAAAAAGTGGGCGTGACCCTGTCTCTAATTAGTTAAATGTACATATCAGAACCACTAAACCACTAAAGCTACAACAACCACATTTACCCAGACGAAGTATTATAAAACTTTCTACCGCCTCAATAATTAAATACGCCAGAGACAATAAATACATATCACACCCGAGATGGTGAAAGAACAATTTATGGGAACCGGTTTGAAATTTGGGCGATGGGCGTGGCACCGTCCATTTTTTGGTGAATTCATATATCCTGAGACCCGCGCTATTCCTCTGACATTTCAATGTCACAGTGCGAAAATGGGCAAAATTGGACTACAACTACGCCTGCTTCTCATAAAACACAGTTTAAAATTCCATTGGAATCTTTCTCATTCCAGTGTACAAATAAATAAGTAATTAATCTAACGGGATAAAAATTGCCACTATTTTTTAAGTCAAAATTTCCCCAAATCCAACCAAATCTGTTCAAGCCTCCAAATACCGGAAATGTGGTATACAGAATCTATTGTTGACTTTCGACCAAAAATATTCCGTCAAAGTATCGGATATGCAATTGAAATTCAGTGAAAATCCTTTTCTCGCAATAGTGTCTATGTGTACACAAATGGGTTGGATAGGGTCAATAGTTCTCTGAGCCCCCTTATAAGATAATATAATATCTTATAATATAAGATTTTGAACTTCCGGCCGCATATATCGGCCAATGTGTGAGTTATCTTAATGCAAATTAGAGAGCGTGTTTTATTCATATCAGTCATAACTTATATTAATAAAATTGGGCGAAAACTTAACCCACTCCCCATATAACTAATATCAGGTTTTTCGAACATCCTGCTCACTTTACTCCATATGGTTGGTGATTGTATGAAAGGTACCTTAAAGAAGCCCAGGGAACATTTTTTAGTATTTTATAGAAAAGTGTATTTGCTTATTTCATTTCTGTAACTGAACGGTTGGTTCAACCAAGCGGCAATAATTTAAGCCAGCAACTGTGTACCCGAACAGCTAAATCAACAGCAGCGACGTGTAACTTTTCGCTTTCAATTTAATGGAACTCAAATATAAACTTTAGATCCTCCTTTATTTACTAGTTAACAGCTTTAAGTCACAAGTATATTTACAAAATTTTTTTGTTATATTACAGATCGCATTCTTTTACGACGCTTTCTTAAATGTATGTACAACAATGTAGAGGAAACCAAAAAAATTATTGAATTAAATTTTTCAATACGAAATAAGAACCAACATATATTTCTTCACCGTGATCCCGACGATGAAGCTGTCAAAGCCATACGAGATGTAGTGTGAGTAAATTTTTACCCAATGAATGAAGAGGACCAATAAGTAATTAACAACATAGTATCCTCAGCCATTGTCGAGACACTTGGGCAATCGTTCTTCAAAGCTGAAAAGCGAATACATTGAAACTCTTTAAATCAATTTTATTCGGTCGCCATCAACGGAGAAGATTAACCGTAGAGATAGGCAAGCTCTTTCTAAAAACACATTCTTTTTCGGACTACATTGCTCTCTTACCACGGAGATGACTGCTTTAGATGTGGTCAAAACAAAACTATAACTGCGAACAAGCTAAAATTTGACAGTGCAGTGACAGTTTCCAAGATAACGTACTACACGAACGCCTCTTCACATGGGATAATGGCTCCATTCAGGCATGGGACTAAGTGCATATTGATCCTTTCCTACAAAATTAAATTTAAACTTAAGGGCCTTTCATTAAGTGTTCATATAGCAATTCGGTAGAAATGTTTTTAACCTTTTTCTAAGAGCCTAATTCTCAAAATGGTAATTATAGTAGCATTTGGAGTGGCACAATTTGATAAATATGTAGATAAAATGAGCTTCGAATACAGAGAGCAGCAGATTAACATGTATAGCTTTGAACTTACTGGCCCTACACCCGGGTTTTTCGAGTGCTAGTTTGGTGGCAGTCGGTAGCAGAATCATCATCAGAAACCTCTAGAATGTTAAGCTAGCAAAGATACTTCAGTTTCAGTAGAATGGGAACAGATTATGGTATCATTATATTCTTGCTATTTGCTATGATTTGACTTCATGTGAATATCCATCTGGATCGTGATAAATGTCTCAAATTTACCTTTTCTTAGTTATAGGGACACGAGGTTAGATAAAAACTCCAGTGGTAGAGGTGGCTTTATGATCTCATAACAATGTTTTACTACGACAATTTAATATGTTTCCCCGAATAATTGAATTCTTGCAAATCTTTGAAATCCGACATTCTCGCTTTAGTAATAAAAATTTTTAAAAAATTAACTACATATATTCCCTGCTCTTTACAGAGAAATGGTGCCACTACCGGGTCTGACTCCAGAAGGTTATAAGTTACTATTATTTCGGCTATCAGATATAGATCCGAAAAAGGTATCAAAAATGTAGATTTCTACTTCAAATATTACTTTAACTCAAACTAATTTAATTTTAGTTAAATAGCACCATCGAGTGTAAAGCATTTTTCATGCTAGCTGACTGTCGTTATTCGGAGCTCGATATCGAGAAGCCGGAAACACAAAAGATAGAGAAATCGAAAGATGATACTCAGACGGAGGAAACAAGTGAAATCGAAGATGACTCGCTGCAAGATGATTCAATATCAAATGGTGAAGTACAGATATGTGATATAGGTGATTACACTTTATCGCACATGGCGCGCATTTCCTTTACGACATTGCGTATGTATATGAATTTTCTTCAAGAGGCGTATCCAGTACGTTTACGCGCAATGCATATCATAAATTGTCCGCCATTTTTAAACAAAATGGTGTCTATTGTAAAGCCTTTTATTCACGAGGATGTCTTTAAAATGGTAATTATATAATATTTGCAGTAAATAGGATTTTCTAATTTTTACATTCGCTAATTACATACATATGTACCTAACGGTTATTTGTAACACCAAGAACATTTGTAGTTTGGAAAAGTTTTCAAAATTGGATGTGAACCCGCCGCGGCGCCGCTCTATAAAAAGTGAAATATATACATAGTTATTCCAACTAAAGTCTGTGAGAATATTTCGTAAGACCGTTTAGGATGATACTATATCTCTGAACTGAATTCTCTGAAATTAAAAAGCCAAAAAGATTTTCTTAAATGTTAAATCTAGTAAATAATTTTTTTTTGACAAAAATAATTTTTGACCAACTTTTCGGCCTTAAATTGTTTATAAAAAAATATTTATCGGTGAGAAAAAGTCTTCCATTAATTACTAAAAAATATGTTACCAACTTTGAAAACAGTATTTTGAGAAAAATGCGTTTAAAGTTTGGAATGCACTTCCAAGCACTGTGGAACGCCTTTTCAAAATTTGCATGTAACTTCGAAAATATTTACCAGAACGATATGAAATTTTCTGTGTGTATTCTTAAATATATGCATATTAAAAAAAATAAACAGTTAAATTTTTTGAAAATTCTAACTGTATATAACCCCTTAACTGCTTAAACGCACAAAAACCGCATGCCTTCATTTCGTTCTATTTAAATATTTTCAATGCCCCCCCTTTACAAGAAATCACATTTATTACAAAATATTTTTCCGAATCAGCTTATACATATGTATAATATGTAATCTTTGTATTTGCGCAACCAATTTCCCATTCAAAAAATATCGGTCAATATTCTTCCAAAATATTGTCTTCGCATGTGTTCATAATTTCCAACAATATGTTTCAGGTGTGGAAATTAAATTTTTGTATTCCATGATATTGTCGATTAACATTTTTGATAGAATCTTAACCAAATTTCCTTTTTATGGTATAAACCTTGATTTCATCGATTATTATTTTATTTTCAAAACATCTCCAAACCACTGAGGTTTTTTGGAAGCATTTCTTAACAGAAACATACTTAGCGGCTTAAAAAGTTCCGCATAAAATAACCACTAATATACACAATTTCTCTCTCATGTTAAGGCAGTCTGCACCTCTTTTTAAATTTTTATATACAAAATATATAAACTATTAAAATGCTTTAACCAACAGATACATTTTCACACTGAAGGCATGGACAGCTTGTATGAAAAAGTGCCGCGTCATATGTTACCGAGAGAATATGGCGGCAATGCCGGTGATATAACGGATCTGAAGAAAATATGGACAGATAAGTTAAAAGTTAAAAGGCATGCTGTTAATTATTAATAAGCTTCAAACGTCAATTCAATATTTATTTGTTAATCATCTTACAGAGATTACTTAATGGATGAAAGGCATTGGAAAATGGATCCTGCACAAAATTCGCGACGTTGGTATTTGTTTTGAAAATTTTCGAATCCACAAAATCATTATTATCTAAAACTCTTTGGAGAGTGTTTTCCGATTTATAGCCATTTGATGTGATATGTTGTAAAAATGGAAATGCTTAGGAAAATTCATATGGGAGTATGCAGAGTTAATTGTATAAGGACTATTATGTACAAATATAACCAATGTATATTAGTATATCTATATATAATATATAAAGTATGGGCTAAACTCCTAACTACTGATCCAACTTAAAGACAGGATAGTTTACTCATGTGTATTAAAAATTATACTTTATATAAAAATAATATGCCAAAAATCAATTAAATGAAAGGCGTGTGTTAATAATAATAATACCCAACGATTACCCTCCTCCCGCCCAACCGACGCGAGGGGCGCAATCCGCGAACGAGCGGAATTAGCCGAGTCATAAAAGGCAAGGGAGTTTTAGGCGTTGCGATCTTAAGCTGTTCAGCCAGAGAACTTAAAACATAGAGAAGGTGCAAATTGAATTCTGTATGATGTTCGATTGGACGGCTAA